TCTCGTATCTGTGCTAGAAAATCCTATTTTTCCAGAAGAGACTAAAATTTCAGGACAAAAAAAGGGACATTTTAAACATTTCTTACTTTACCCATTTTAAGTTCTGTTTCTTCCCCCACCCATCCAGTAATTCAGCATGATCCAGCAGAAAGAGGGCTGCTTTTAGAATTGGCTATTTTATTTTTCTTTCTGTGGCAAGACTGTCATGGAGCCTGGATATTTCAGGCTCGTATGCATCCATGACCAGTGTCCCGCTGTGGTCAAAAAACTTGGCGATAGACTTAGTGAATTCGGCTTCCCGCTGCTGCTTTGTTCTCCCACTGATGAAGGTCAGTTTCAGTGTATATTTATCATCAAACCTAAGCATCAGGGCAAAAGACAGAATATCAAAAACAAACACATTTTAGAAGATATTATAAAATATTATGCATACTTCTAAGTGTGATGGTAGTATTTTCCTAAAGTTATTTGTGGATGACTGATTATGATATCCAGGATTTGTTTCAAAATATTTCAGTAACAGAAAAAAATGCTACGTGCTTATGTCACAAGACTGGAAAATGCAGACAGTTACCACAACTGGGAAATAAGCACATGGGAATTGTGTTATTTTGACTTTTCTATATATTTAAAAACCTGTATAATAAAAAGCTTTAAAATTAAAGAGAAAGGGAAAAACAAACAAGAGCACAGATGCAACCAGTAATAATAGAGCACCAAGTATTTCTGAAAGAACAAGGTGGGCACTGGTGATATAGGGAACATGCAAATACTTTATACTTGGGCCCAAAACTATTCTGGGAAAGCCTTCTCAAACCCTCATCTGGGTTACACGTGTCTCCTTCTTCTTCCACAGCACCATCAATTAATATTCAATTCAAATACTAAATGCCTATGATATTCAGTTTTAAAGATAGCTTCCATGCTTTCAACAAAATTATCTGTACTGAAATGTGTATTTGTGTTTTTCACTAGACTGGGAGATTCCTGAGGGCAAGGATTTTTGTCTTAACTGCTTACTATCAGCATGGCACTTGGATAGGCAACCACATTTTTCTGAATAAAAAACCCTTGCTATCAAGGAGGCTCCCCAATTCTAGGGTGCTTAACCCTTGCAATCTGTAAAAATTGAGCTCTAGGTTCTACTGACTCCATACCCACTGCTTTACTACATGAACTCCAGAGATTCCTGTTATACTTTAAGGTACCAGGAAGGTCTTTACTATTTCCACCCATTAAGAGGATTTAATGATACCATTTTCTGGTAGGCTGACACCCCCTCACCACCTGCTTCTGTCCACTTATTAGGGCACATTCAGTGGATTATCATGCAGGTATTATCCTTAGGTGAAGAAGTTTCTTATACACCTATTTCTGCATGCTTAAAACAGAAACACTTCCACTTACTTTAAGGATTACTATCATAGTCAGAATGGTACCTACTGTTTGACCATAGCCTCCCAAAAGCATAAGTCTTCAATAAGTCGTTGGACGTTATCCCAACTTGGATAATGACTAGTGAAGGCCCTTGAACTATTTTAATCACCTCAAAAGATTTTTCTCAAGCTCTATTCACTTGTTGTTAACTGAATCACAGTAATTTTTTGACTTCTGGGCCCTGTTTTATTAGCAGTTACATTCCTTTGATGGCAGGACATGATCTGATGAGTTGTAACCTGATGCATCTTAGAAATAGCTATCCTTAACTCAAACATTTATTGAACACTACCTAGTTTTAGATACTAAAAATATACAGCAATGAACAATATATATAAACCTCTGCCTTTTGGGGATTTTCATTACAGTGTGTGTGAGGGGACCAAAAAAAAAAAAAAAAAAAAGATGTTCTTTTAAATATAACAGGGCAGGAAGTTTCATTAGGCAAATGTTTGAGCAGAGCCCAAAGAAGGCAAGAGAATGAACTATCAGAGAAATTGATATCCCGTGCAGAGGAAGTAAGTGCAAAGGCCCTTAGACAGAACATATCTGGAATAAAGAGTAGAAAAGGGTCTTGATGAACAGAATGAAGTGGGAGAGAATGACAACCATTGATTAGGGGTACAGACAATAGATACATATTAACTTCTAAACCACAGTTAGAAAGTTAGCTTTTTCCCTGCATAAAAGTTTTGAGCTGAAGACTAAGGTGATCTGACATTTCAGATGGATCAGTTTGACTAGTTCAAGTACATTTCAGTCATTCACACAATAAAGCTTTCTATACATCTAAAGTGTGCTAGGCCCTAAGCTAGCTCCGAGGACCTAAAGTTGAGACAATCCCTGCCTTGGCTTAAGTATCTAGTATGTAGTGAATGGTAAAGGGGCTCACACTGCAAAGGAGGAGGGCCTAGGAGGAGACAAAGATAAGTAATATAGCTCCAAATGACCAGGGTAACAGAGATAAGCGTAAGACACTCAAGAATACCTAGGTGTACCTAACCCAGACTAAGCTATGTCAGGGAAGACTCCTTAGGAGGATAACAAGTAGGAGGCAGGTGACAGATAATCAACCCAGAGAAAACAATCTTGATTGAAGGCACAGGGTCAACTGGAAAACTCAGCAAATTAAAAACTCCATGATATTGCTAGAGTAAAAATACATGTTTTGAGAGGGGCACAAAAAGATATCATGAAGGACAGATGCTGAAAGACTGCACATGCTAATGGAGTTCAGGGTATTTAATAAATGTGCTGAGAAGCAAGTAAACTGCAGAATTCTTACACAAGTCACAAAGCTTGTATAAATTTGAAGATGGCAAATGGTGGTCTGTGAAACCTTTCACTGCCATTCCATAGGGCAGTTATGGAACAAGATGTCAGAACCAGGAACTATTAAACTACTAGAAGAAGAGTTGGGAGGACAGAAGAATGTTCTCCACCAACAATATGGCAACTGGCAAAAATGAGAAGGGAGTACAGAAAAATCAGAACCTTAATATAGTGCTAGTGGGACTGTAAAATGGTGCAGTTACTTTGTTAAACAGGTTGGCAATTCCTCCAACAGTTAAAGAATTACTATATGATTCAGTAATTCCTCTCCAACAGAAATGAAAGCATATTCACACAAAAATTTGTACACAGATTTTACAGCAGAATATTCACGATAGCCCAAAGGTGCTGACAACCTAAATGTCACCATTAATTGATGAACGGGTAAACAAAATGTGATATATCTTTGCAATGGGATATTATTCAACCTTTAAAAAGGAATGAAGTACTGAAGAATGCTACAATGTGGCTAAACCTTGAAAACATTATGCTAAATGAAAGAAAATAGTCACAAAAGGCCACACAGGCTATACATTCTAAAATTTAATTCACATTAGATGTTCATAGAAAATATTTACATAGTAAGTAAGTAATTGGATATTGCTTAAGGTTGGGGGGAAATGGAGAAAAAGGAGATAATAGCTAAAAGTTACAGGATTTTGTTTGAGGTAATGAAAATGTTCTAGGGTTGACTATGGTAATGATTGCAAATTGTTGAGAGCCACAGCCAAAGGGGCCCCAGCAAACTTCCAGCTGCCAGCTGATGATTGGCTCACAGCGGCCCCAGCAACATCTAGCTGATTGGCTCCTCTGCGGTGATGTTCATTGGGCTGTTTCCCTGCCCTTCAGACTACGGAACTGCTCATTGGGGGACTTCTTTGGCTCCGCCCACGCGACCCAGCCAATTGGCCTCAAGAGCAGGAGGATTGTGGGAGGTGGTGAGGGTTGTGGGGGGAGAGGCTTGTGGAAGCCGGTGGTGGCAGTTGGGCTCTGAGGGTTTCTTTTCCTGAGGAGCTGTTTTGCTTGGCATTTGTAGTTCTAAAAATAAAGTTAGTTTCTTTTGACAAGTGGCTCCTGAATTGTGCCCAGCCAGACTGAGGCATTTGGCTCCTGAATTGTGTCCAGCCAGACTGTGGCAGCAAATAATTGTAAATACCCTATAAACTAATAAAATGTACACTTTGGGTGAACTGTATGGAGGTGAAGTATATCTCAATAAGGCTGTTAAAAAAAAACATGTCAGAATAAAAATAATGAAATCAAGATGTTGCCAGATTCTAAAATTATGCAACTCTTCTTCAGTGGCCTGGGAAGAAGTTAAGATTCACAACAGCTGAGTAAAAAAAGAGCTAGAAGCCCTGCTCCAAGGATAAGCAAGAACTCAGCTATAACATCAGAATGAAGGTCTGCTCCCCTTCTTCATAGACATCTTCACAAATCAGCAATGAAATAGAGCATTTATTTGGTGCTGATGCTATGTTATTTTCATATATGTGAATAATTGTAACTTCAGGACCTACTTTTAGGAAGTATACCATGTATTTTTAGTTAATGACAAAGGCATGACTTCTGGATTACATGATGCTAGAAGAATTAATGTAACCTTTGGACCTGTGTTCTTATCTATAAACATATGTTCTAAAGTCTATTTATTTAGCACAATACCTGAAAAACAATGAATGTTTAATAGACATTTGCTATTATGGTGACTGGTATAATAGACATTTGCTATTATTATAACTGCTATCATATCTTCCCAACAACTCTAAAAGAGTCCTTTTTGACTTCACTAAAGGCACATCGTTTATATGATTTATCAAAAGTCATACATTGAGAAACAGACTGAGCTGGCACATGGACTCCATTCTGGGTACTTACATGGACTCTGGACTGTATTTTATAAAGTCACACAGAGCAATGTTCCAGAGATTCTTGACAGCATTTAGAGTGGAGTCAGGATCATAGAAGGCACAAAAACTAAACAGAGGTTTTTCCAAAGATAACTGATTTCATACCTTTGTCATTTGTTAACTTGTCACAAAGGATAAAATTCTTTATCCTTTCACTAAAGTATTTTCTTAGTTTATCCTCAGAGGATTTCTGTGATAACCCAATCTCAGAACTGCAATGTTAGGAAAAACCTTTTAGATCATTCACATCCCTTTCTTCATTTTACATCACCAGCACTATGCATGATCTGCATAGAACACACATACAATATTTGTTGTTAATAATGATGACACCATGGGGCAAATACAACACCAGGATTTAAGAATTTATAAGGACCATCATTACCTTTTGAGACTGGAGGACAGTTGCCAAATATCATCAGGATCCATCCCAGTAGGATCTTTCCTGTGAGCCACAAGAAAGATGCTCTTCTCCTTATATGAGGTATAAATGGTCAGAATCCCCATCATCACGAAATAGGTTCAAATAAAGTTAAGGGGAAAATACACAAACAAAAGAGAAGTAACACAAACTGACAAGCAAGAACACAAAAACTTTCATGATAGTTTTTAAAAAATTTTTTTTTTGTAGCTGTAGATGAACAGCATGCCTTCATTTTGCTTGTTTATTTTTATGTGGTACTGAGGATCAAAGCCAGTATGCCTTACATGTGCCCTGCCACTGAGCTACTACAGTCCCAGTCCCTCATGATAGTCTTAAAGAAGATGGTCGATTTTGCCTTACTGCAAAAACACTTAAAATATACCTATTTCATTTTCATCCTATGTTATGTACAAAGAGATGCAAGGCATTCTCTGATAAATCCTCCAAACATCTCAAAGTCTGTCAAGACTTTGTCATAATTTGTGCTATTTCTGTATTTAAAAAAAACACAATAATCACAATGGACTTGACCAGGTTCCACCAATCTCAAAGGTAACTAGAATAAAAGTGACTTCAAATTAGTTACACTGTACAATTACTATTACATTCAGTTAACAGCATTGCCCATCATATCTGACAGGTACTTGCTATACCTGGCCCAAGAGTTTTGTGTGCATTGTAATTAAAATTTCAAACACAGGAGTCATGAAAGTATAGTGCAAAGCATATAGACTCTAGAGTGAGGTGATCCTAAGATGTGAATCTTGAAGGCCTTCAACAAACATAACTGTGATAAATTATTTTTTCTTCCCCAAGTATTCTCACCTCTTTTAAAATGGGGATAATAGTGACTTTTTCAAACTGTCATGAAGTTTATGCATAAATATATACATATATATTGCATCTAGCAAACAGAAGATACTTATAATAGTAGTTACTACTATTATATATAAAACTGACTTGATCTTGCTTTGTTTTAAACAAATATAACCAAAGTAGCATCAAAACAACTCTCCTGGAAGACCATATATTTGTAACATTTCTGTCACTGTTCAAACTTCTTTGGAGTTCCCTTAGGAACTGTCTACAGAGCCTGAGTCATAATTCTTTTGAACTGCCTTAATAGTCAAAAACTCATATCGAGATCATCATACTGTCATATGTAACCAATTTAAACAAATTAAAAAAAAAGACTGAGCAATAATAAAAAACAAAATTCATATCGAGATGATTGATCTGGTTACTAAAAGGGGTCAGGGATCACATAGTGCCAATTCTTCGGACTATCATTTGACACCAATTATAATAATACCATTTTTGATCAGGGCCTGCTTATAATATATGGCTTGCTAACTACCTGTGGGGGTAGAACCTTTTAAAATATTTCAGGTAATGGCAACAGTGTTTAATAATTTGTTTGAACTAGTACAATGATAGCACACAGCAGACACACAGTGACAATTAAAAATCATGTAAAGATAGGAGTGGTGGCACATGCCTATAATCCCAGAGGCTCAGGAGACTGAGGCAGAAGGATTACGAGTTCAAAGCCAGCCTCGAAACTTAGTGAGCCCTTAAGGAACTCAGTGAGACCCTGTCTCTAAATAAAATACAAAAAAGGTTTGTGGTCAATGGTTAAGTGCCCATGGATTCACTTACCCAATGCAAAAAAAAAAAAAAAAAGATATAGAGATGCATGTACTAACATGGAAAGATGTCCACTATACTTTTCTTAAGTTAAAAAATAAAGTATAGAACAAATACACAGATGGTTTGGGTGAGGGGACCATATATAAAAAAAAAAAAAAAACGTTTCATGAATATAACTTTTGTAGTAGCAGTAACAGCACAATAAAATTTCTTTGTTTTCAACCTCTGAGAAATAATCAAGCTGGGTAGGTAAGGTCACAACCATAATTCTAAACTTACTATTAAAAAGGAGAGGGGAAATGCTCCTCAACTGACGATGGAATTATGGAAACACTGTTAGGTCAAAAATGCATTTAATATCCCTAACCTACCAAACACCCTAGCTCAGCCTAGTCTACCTTAAATTTGCTCAGAACACTTATGTTAGCCTGCAGCTAGGCAAAATCATCAAACACAAAGCCCATTTTGTAATAAAATGATGAGTATCTTGGGTAATTTACTGAATACTGTACTGAAACCTTAAAAAAAATCCTTTCTTTTTTGCTGTTTGTTTCAGCTATAACTTGAAAAGTCAGAAAATCTTAGATTGCAGGCTGGGGTTGTAGCTCAGTGGTAGAGCTCTTGCCTAGCATATGCGAGGCACTGGTTTCAATCCTCAGCACTACATAAAAATAAATAAATAAATAAAATAAAGGTATTGTGTCCATCTACAACTGAAAATAATTAAGAAAAAAAGGAAAATCTTAGATTGGACCATTTAAGTTAGCAACTATCTGTATTCCATACCAAGTCAATTATAAAATCTCTCATTTAATTTTCATAATTCTGAATATTAACCATAAGTGAGATAAATTCAGTATCAAAAATTTAATTTCTTATTATCACAAGACTTCACACACATAAGATTTCGAATTATATTCTGCAGTTCCCCCCAGGTTCTTAACTCTACTGTAACACAAGTCAAGCTTATACCATAGTCAGTAGCTCCCAGTCCAGCCCCTCAACTTCAAGGAAACCTGACTTCTGACTCTTCAAACTCTGATGCTTGTCTAATATTCTGTGAAGTGGCTTAAAGCAGCCTAGTCTAATGGGGAAAGTTTTGGGCTAGAAGTGAGACAAGCTGGGTCTCATTATTCCTGTATGTACTGCTATTAAGTGCTTATATTACAATTATAAGAATTTCTACATTAATAACTAAAATGAATTACAGATAAAACAATATATTAAACCTAAAATATCAAAGACGCTAAACAAATTTAAATGCCCACAGCTTATTATTTTAAATTCTAACATAAGCAGGTACCAAGAAGGAAAGTTTTTATGGGGAACAGAGAGGACTATCTCTCTGTAATATGTAAAGACTRTTATAAAGCCATATGTAAAGACCGTTAGTAGAAAACAAACCTGATAAGTAAAGGATATGATATGACGCACAGGGCTAAAACTGGCTTGGACTCTGGAAAGGGGTGCATATAATCCCAAATCAAAGCCACTATGGCAAAAAAACAGGAGATGGTACAGATGGTGAGGCGACCGTCAATTAGCCCAAAATTCTCCACATACTTGTACTTTTCCAGAAGTACCTAGTGAGAAGAAAAGGAATCAAGCTACCAGGAATGTTTTCTTCATGCTATGTGCTTTTATTCTTGATTTCTATGAAAAAGTTGTTAAAAATTATATGAATTAACAAAAAGTTCTCTCCAACAGGTATTTTACCATTCTAAACAAAGACAACTTAAGACATTTATACAGGATCCTAGGAAAAAAGTCCATTAACTCCTTACAATATATATATTTTTTAAATCCTCAACTTTCCCCATAGGATACAGTTAAAACTTTTCTTTTCCCTTTTCAAATGGAGAAATGACTAACCATGGATAAATGACCAATCTTCTCTCAATCTTTTGTGCTCTAAGGGAATTAATCTCAAAAACAATAAATTACCAACTTTTCTGAGCTAGCCAACATTTAGATTTTTAAAAAATTTTTTTAGTTGTTGATGGACATTACATACCTTTATTTATTTATATGTGGTGCTGAAAATCAAACCCAGTGCCTCACACATGCCAGGCAAGTGCTCTACCACTGAGACACAGCCCCAGCCCCAACATTTACATTTTAACATACACCCCCATCCCCAATTATTCTGTAAGAGTTCTGGAAACTGCTGTATGCCTTATTTTCTAACATTGAAAATTAAGGATACTTCAAGTTAACAGAGTAAAAAGATCTTCAGGAAATGGGCTATCATCTGTATACATGCTCATGGACCCTCAAGAAAATACCTTTTTGGCAGAATCATCCAAAGAGTTTTTCACAGCTGATCCATCCCATTTGTCAATTTTTACAGGCTTATCATCAATTTTCCACTGTAAAACAAAGAGAAAAATTGTTCATCAAGAAACCCGACATCTCAATTAAAATAAAACAGGCTGCTTTCTTAAGAGTATCCTCAAGTATACATAACATTTATTCTTTGCCTTTTGATGATGGAGAGCTAAAATACAAAACAAAACAAACAAAAAAAAGAGGTTGAAGAAGAGGAGACTAGGCCATTAGAATCAGTCAGTACTTCTAACACTCATGTGATGTTAACAGACTCTAAGCAGAGAAGTCAAAATCTTGTACAAGTCCAGAACCAGAACACTTACACAGGCTAGTCTCTGTGAGTGTGTACTCATATTCTCCATCCCCATTTGTTCATCCTTTCATTCTGTAACCACAAAACTCAGAAAACACATGCAGGAATTTATACAGTAAACAGAATGGGCTGGGTTTCCTTTAATAAATACTTCTTTGTCAGGGGTGGTAGTACTTGCCTAGCATGTACAAAGCCCTGGGTTCAATTCCCAACACCATCACAAAATATAGACAAAAACAAGTAAAAAATAAACAACAAAAAACCCCCATTAGTTGTCCACTAACAACTTTTACATTTTAACAGGATGTCTTAATTTTAATTTTACAGCATATACAGTAATCTAGTACAATCTGTTAGAGCACTAAATTTTCAATCACAAACCAAGTCCCTGACCCAGTCCCAACATCAATTAGTTATGTGACTTCGGACAAACCTGCTTTAATTTCGTTATCAACAGAGGTTTAGAAAAGTTTCCCACATACTGCTTGCTATTCAGAGATAACTGATTTCTCACATGTTGTGAGCAGATGTTAAAAATATTATAAGATCTACAAGTGAATTTAGCTACCTGGACTCAACATCCACTTCTGGAAATTTTTCTATAACTACACACATATGAAATAATATATAAAGCTACTCACGGCAACATTATAATATATAGCTTTATATATTATTTATATATAATATAAATAATATATTTTATATTATATATAAATATATAAATATAAGTATTATATATAAATATTATATATTTTTCATATATATAATGTAAATATTATATATTTTTCTCATAGTAGGAAAAAAACCTAGAAGTAACTCAAGTACTTATCTAAAGGGGCTGATTAAACCAACTATGGTACATCCAGATATCCTACTTGGGTAGAGAGAGGGAAACGGGTGAAGAGTGAGCCACTAAAACTTTTAAAAACATGTGAATGTAGTATATGGTTAAAAAAAAATCTCAAAATTCAACTGATTAAGTGAATGCAACTTAGGTGAAACAGAGCGTTTATAAATAATGAGAAATCTTGGATAGATCACATTAGTCAATATTTATTCTTTTTTCCATTTTTTATTAGCAACTCTTACTTTAGATAGAGTGAACAAATATTGTATTTCATAAAAATTCGAAATTGATTTGGCTTCAGAATGGATTAGTTTACTGAAGAACAGAAAACATTTATATCTCATCAACTTTTTAAAATTGGACTGTGATTCTATACACTAGTACACAAAAAGAACTGTTCTATAAAACTTGTTGAGGGAAAAAAACCCATGAACTAGAACAGTCATGCTTAAAAGTGATTAAGTCAATCAAAAATTTTCCCTCTGGTGCCTTATAMAAACAAAATTTTTCTTTCAGAACATTACTCATGATAGCATGCTGCAATACTGATTCTTACAACCTTCCAACCTACAAATCATACACAGTATCAAATTCTAAAAATACCAATTGAATCATGAATTATAGGGTTTTCTAGCTACATAGCTAGATCACATGCACTCAGTCAAGTAAATCTCATTTTGATAACCACAAGCAAAAGAAAGACCTTGCAAATTCACAATAAAAATTCAAAATAAAATTTATGAAATAAAATCATTTAAAAGTTTTAAGTAGGGCTGGGGTTGTGGCTCAGCAGTAGAGTGCTCACCTAGTACATGCGAGGCGCTGGGTTCAATCCTCAGCATCACATAAAAATAAATAAATAAGAGACCAACAGACCCTGTACTGTCAACTAAAAGACAATATCATTGCCTGCAGTACATCCCAGAAGAGAAACTTGCCTCTACAATTCATAGGATAATTTCTTAACAATGTTCAGGGATAACATACAGAAGCAGGAGTGCTGCAGCACACAGCTGTAATCCCAGCTACTTGGGAGGCTGAGGCAGGAGAATGCCAAGTTCAGAGCCCGCCTCAGCAACTTAGTAAGATCCTGTCTCAAAATTTATAAAATTTAAAAGGGTTGGGGATGTGGCTCAGTGGTAGACCACACTTCGGTCTAATCCCCCAGTGCCAGGAAGGAAGGGAGGGAGGGAGGGAGGGAGGAAGGAAGGAAGGAAGAAAAGCAGCCATTTCAGCATGTGCTGAAATAGCCTCAGCACTAATTCCACTGTCTGGTACCTGGAAACAAGCAAAACAGTAATATTTCCAGTAAATGGCATAAGTTAAAGAAAGATTATAATTTGATTTCTGAAGAGATGGTAGCATCAGCCATTTTGTATGCCTGAAAAACTTAGTCCATTTCAAAGTAAATAAAGAAGGCAGTGACTTCAAGATGCTTATTTTTCTGATTGTTATTTTCCATCATTCTCAAAACTACTCTTAAGACTAAAATATATGGTATTCTCCCTGATCTCTCTGCTGCTATTCAGAGTTATTTTAGAATCACTTTTCTTCACTCTTGTCTTCCTTCACACTAAGTTAAAACTGCAATAAAAAGGGAAAAACTCAAGTTGGGATTGTGGCTCAGTGGTATAGTGCTTGCCTAGCGTGAGTGAGGCACTGGGTTCAATTCTCAGCACCACATATAAATAAACAAAATAAAAGTCCACTGACAACTAAAAAACATTTAAAAAAGGAAAACACTCACATATGACCTCAGAGGATAAATTAGTGGAGGACAGTATGCAGAAAAGAGCATAAGAATGAGCCTGCCACCCTTAGAAAGGTCTGTTTGCAAAGTTGGTCTTGGAATGGCATCTGATAATAGTCCCTACAGTAATATAAAACATTCCCCAAATAAGAGTGGCTTGTTGTACATAAACTATTTATATAAATAATTCAACTATGCTGAACACTTTTCCTTCTGGGAATTTGGCAAACACCAGGCTGAGGGTTGCCTACTTAATCAGCCCTAATAAAAGAAACCCAGACAGAATCCCTAATAAACTTTCGGTGCTGACACTACTTCACAGGTACTGTTGCCATCTCGCTGCTAGAGGAAGTAAGCATGTCCTATGGGACTCCAACAGCAGAGGACTCTCAATCCTGTGCTTGCTTTCCTCTGCATTTCATTTGTGCAGCTTTTCTTCCTCTGCTGATTTTGCTTTGAATCCTTTTGCTGTATTAATCTTTCCTGAGTAGCAGTATGTACTGAGTCCTATTAGTGCTTCTAGCAAATCACCAATCAGGGTAGTCTTGTGAACCTCTGATGGAGACAATACTGTCCTGTGTCACCTAAAAGACAAATTGGATGTTGTGCTTCATACACAATTCCTCTTCCCTCATTACCTCCAGTATATAATAGATACATGCATACTGGGCATAACCAATGATCAAATGTATTTACTTAGCCATTATTTGTACCAAGGTGATATGATATATGCACATGGTTTAAGGACTAAGAGTCCATAGTCATTTCCTACTTTCCAAAGAGACACAACTATTCTCATCTCCTATAGTTGATATTTTGGGTTTTACCTCTAATATCCTTTCAAAACATATCACTGTGGTGCACCACCTGTGAAGCTACTTGAGTGGTCTTTTACTGGGTACTGAGCCATGGGGGACTTAGGTCTCCCCTTGGGGACAATCCCTGGCATTCCCACATGTAGAATGCCCAAGGCGTGAGATCTCTTCCCTTGCTCTACCAATGGGACAGCCCACCTCCTGCCTTATTTGGCAAAGAACATTCTGTAGAACACCTTTGAAGTTCCTTTGTATAAATAAACCAAACTTGGGCTCCCACTCTCTTTTTCCATTGTGGAAGCTGGACCCCTAATGACAGAGCCGTCCCACCCTTGCTTTTCAAAGTTACTTCCCTGTCTTGTGGTCTTTTCGTCACCTTCTTTTTCTCAGCCTTATTTTGCAGGCAGTTCACCCCACATGGAGGAACTCGGATCCAACTGCCTGTGCCAGATGTGGGTGGGATATTGCTACTAAATTTTTCAGTTTTTTTGGCATTATATCTACTGATTTCTCACTACGAAAAATGAAATTTAGCCCCTTGCTACAGTTATTCTTCCTGCCCCTTCCCACCATCTTTTTGATACAGTCATAGATCAATATAGATTTGGTCTTATATAACACCTTAATTTTTGGCAGATCATGAACTCAGAGTTTACAACCATAAATGCTATTAACAAATGAGTCATATAGAATACTAGATTTACTTTTTATTTCCTGCATAGCTTGTTTTATTTTTCGCTAGTTTTTTGTTTTTACTATACAATATATTTATCAACAATTTATTCTTTAATTCTATGCCAACTGTTTAAAATAACCCCACAATATATGCAAATAGATTCAGCACTTTATGAATTTCCTCTTCTTCGAGAAAATTCTTGGAGACTTCAGACTTGCTTCAATCTAAATGATGCTGCTCTTCAACCTGCTGCATAACTATCATCCTGGACTCTCCCTTTACTATGACACTGGGGTTTTCCTTAATCTCTCTTGGACTGGATTGCCTTTTCTTATTATATCTTACTCTTTCCTTGGTTCACTATTCCCTTGATTTGGTGAAGCACAAATCTAGTGGTTTCCTTAAAAATGCATAATGGAAATAAAGTATGTATCTGAAAATGTCTCTTCTACCCTCTACACTTGAAAAATAAAAAATTATTTCTCTTTAAAAAACTGCACATAAATCAAAACTAAGATTTCATCTCACTCCAGTTAGAATGGCAATTATCAAGAATACAAGCATAATTAGTGTTGGCAAGGATGTGGGAAAAAAGGTACATTCATACATTGCTGGTGGGACTGCAAGTTGGTGTAACCAT